CCCTTACTTTGTTGAACTGACGTCATCTCGAAAGATATTGGCTATTGTTTAGATGTAAACAATGTATTTTCGACTTTTCGATCAAAGTCACGTCATTTTCACACGTCACTAGTTACAACCCTCAATTTTTGGGGATTTATTGACGAAAATATATAGTAGTAAGATTAGCTCCTTAGGCAAAACAGCCCTAATTCATGTCACCATACTAGTCAATGGCAAAAGGTCAAACGCCTAATTCTTTATTTCGAGTTTTTGATTTGTGTTGCCCCACTGGTCTATCTACGGTTCAAAAACGATGCTTAAGCTACATTATAACACTAAACTCATTAAGGGTCAAACATCTACTTTTTGAAATAATCGGTCAATTGTGACACTATCCCCTCCCCCCCCCCCCATTTGCCGCCAAAAATTGAAAATGAAGCCAAAATTAACATGCCATTCAACTCAAAATTTTCCTTCAGATGACCCAAATGAACACATTTTTAGAAGAAAGAGCATTTATTTTTTAAAACTACTTTTTCTATGCATTCAGCGTATTCGGGTAGTTTGGCCTCGAAAATTATCTAAGCTTGTATTTCCGAATGCAACTAACGCCTGTCAGCTTCCGGATTGAACCACTATTTTATTGGCAACTCATTAAAATATTAATAGTACCTGCCACTTTTCCATTCATATTTAAATGAGTTGGTCATAAAATAGTAGGTTAATCCGGTAGCCGCTAGCCGTTTGTTGCATTCGCGAATACAAGCTAAATGTTGTAGAATAATTGATACGCTGTCAGTTGATCTAAAACGCCCAATGGATAATCGCATTCAGTTTGTCAGCTGATATCTAAAACAGCCAATCACGGATCATGTTTAGTGTGTCGGCTGACAAACCATGTGTACCTTATGCGAAATAAGACCAGGCTCTAATAGAAATGAAAAAATCAGTTCTTTTTACACTCATGAAAATATAAGGTACTGAACCGACAGAGATATATAGCATCCTTCATTTTTATTGACTTGTTGGAAATACAATGGAAGTAATTGGAAATATTGTATGGTGTAACCATGCACAACGGTGCAAAAGCCACTCTTAGGATATAAGTCAGAGTTTGTTTTATGGTTGCTTTCTATATTTCTACATACCGGTAATTTAAAACAATTTAAACACATTTTTGTTACTTATCTGCGTTTTTAAATGATCAAGCAACGTTCTTTCTGACTCTGTAACTTACTGTTAAAGTCTGGATTGAAATCTGTTTCACTATGTTACAGTTTTTACTAACTTCTCTATAAAGTCTATGAGGATCCGTGATCGCGAACACCTGCTCCGAAAATGTAAGACCAGTTGTAAAAAACAAATTACATGAATGTCAAATTGGTAACAGCTAACTCTACAATTTGAATTACCCAGAACAGGTGAAATGTGCATTTGCTTAGTTGGAATAATTTCCATATTGAAATAACTTAAGACAGAGTACACGTAATGCTGTATTAATTGTGCGCAAGATGGTGGGAGGGCTAATGATTCGGTCTGTAATTAGTACTCTAATTAGCATGCTATGATCTGTTAGAGGATAAGAAGTCTGCTGATATAGCGTTTAAATTGTTTCCAGTACCATACGAAAGAATGTTCAACATTTCATGGTTTAAGTCTTTGTAATTTCTGAGACAACGTCTAAGCTCAAATCAAGCAATGAGCTGTCTGGTTCGAACAGGATCTGGTAGGCAAAGATTCTCAATTCAGAAACGTTTCAACTCGAGATTACATCGTCAAACATAATGTTTTTATAACAAACGTATTTAAAATTAAGTTTTGGGCTCGATAGGATGATTAAACGTCAAAACTTCTTATTTATGAATGATATTTATTGTAAATAAATTTTGCAAAATAAATTTTGTGACGACATCAAAAATGTGGGCCTATTATCAAAATAATGATGACATGTTTTCGAATTGAATAAGTCATTTGTGATGTTTGTACATGTTCCTCAAATTACAGAGACAGGTGTCAAATGTTATACTAATTGCTAATTGTACCTTTTGTGTATTTCCAGTTCCCGCATATACTTGAATGGGAGACTATTACGTCACTCAACGGGAATTAATTGGTTCGAACCTAGTGGTATTACTTGCTACAAAGGCGTGATAAAGACATTGACAATAACAAATGTAGCATTCATTGAGCCATCGTTGCATGAGCATAACTCTTGGATAACTGATAGGGAGAACGGGAGAAGTAAAAGCTTAAAAGACTGCTTACTCATTTTGATCATCAATGGCGGAGGAGCGGATATTCAGCTACAGTAACATGTCCGGGGACAACTTCACAATGAACCTGTCTGATGTGATGGTTTGTCCAACTAATTTGTCGGGATTCAATACGAGTTTGTTACCTCCAGAATGTGTGAAGGAAGTCGATGCGACCGTACGCTTGTTTGAGAACATAGTTCAATATGTTGTTCCAGTAATATTCGGCTTGATCGTTCTGATTGGTGTAATTGGGAACCTATTAGTGATCATCGTTGTTGTGTCAAACAAACAGATGCGTAATACAACGAACCTTTTAATTATTAACCTGGCGATTGCGGATTTGTGTTTCATTATCATATGTGTTCCGTTTACGGCTGCCATGTACGCACATTCATATTGGCTCTTCGGAAGCGTCATGTGTAAGATCGTTCACTATATGAGCAACGTCAGTGCGTATGAGAGCATGTATACGCTAGTCATGATGTCATTCGATAGATACCTTGCCGTTGTACATCCAATACGCTCCATGAGTTTGAGGAACGAGCGGAACGCAACGATCGTAATCATTATATCATGGGTGCTTTTCTTGAGTACAAATGTCCACGTGCTCTTTCAGTACGACCACAGACACTACACATTTGAAGGCGAGAATAGATCGGCCTGTATAAACACTCACATAGCAGATGACCAAAGCAAATTAACTGGAAAACTGTTCTATGGGTGTTTCTTTGTATTTGGGTATATCTTACCACTAAGTGTCATTTGCATATTATATGGGTTCATGTTAAACAGACTTCTGTATGGTGTCATGGCCCGAAACAGAGCAGCGTCGGCAGAGAGTATGAGGTCAAAGAAAAGGGTTACAAGAATGGTAGTCATCGTTGTACTAATATTCGCTGTATGCTGGCTTCCACTGCAAATTATATTTCTCATACAGTATTTTGGAACATACCCGGAAAGTTTAGTTTTCGTAGGGTTCCAAATCTTTTTCAATGTCTTAGCGTATATGAACTCATGCGTCAATCCCATCTTGTACGCTTTTCTATCAGACAATTTTAGAAAAAGTTTCCGAAAGCTCTTAAGCTGCGGCCAATATCAACCAGCTCGAATGGAGTTTGAGCGAACAAACGCAAAAGCATTGGAGAACAGCAAATCGTGTACGACTCAATTTACCAACTCGAACAACCTTTTGGAGAAGAACGAGAACGGCAATGGCTGTTCAGCTTCGACAAATTGCAAGTACGACATGTTATAAATAAGAATCAATTGTGACTTATAGACAAAACGCGAATGGGATATATTTTGCTTCGGGAAAGAAGACCAAAAGGCGATGTGAATTGACAAATACACTCATATAAGGTACTGACAGGTTAACAATTGCACATAAACAAATATAGGATTAACATTGCAGGGACTGATCGTGGATCAAAGTGTGACTCGTACTGTAATGGACCAATCCAAATGGATTGTCATAAAATCCACATGAATGGATATGAATTGTCAACGTTCGGACATGTTCAGACCTGCAGTTATGGAGTCACAGAACACAAGTGACATCTTTTATTCATTTCATATTATTTTCCAAATGTTCTATCTATTTACGGGGTTCGACAGGACTTTAGGAAAATGAATATGTTTCAACGCTTTATTTCTTTGTGTGATTAATATTACATACTTGCTTCTTTATTTCATATCAGTACACATTTTGTTACAAATTATTATGTTTTAAATAAAGATAAAATGTATATTTGGTCAGAAAATAGTGCTCGATTTTACTTTTGGAAAGGAATGGATATTATGATGAAAAATACTTAAGTGCAAAACTGATGTATGATAAGCATATATGGGCTCATATGTTAGTGAAATCAGCATTACAGCTATGGCGAGTATGGCAAATGCTTGTAGAAGTTCCATATATGTAGTGACCTTGTGAATGTCCTGAACAATAACCATATTAATTACTATAATTAAATTTGTAAATATATACGATGTAAATATATATTTATGCTAACTGGCTAGAAAAAGTAAAAACAATCGTATATTGATATACGTTTATTTAGAGCATTAACTGTAAATTATATGAATTACAAACACCAACTTGTTAGTGTATGTACAACAAAACGTGTACAAGATATAGTAGTTGACTGATATGTAAAATTAATGCATTGATTACTCATTTACGCATGCTCTCGCCAAAATGACGGGCTTTGTCCTACTTCACCCAAAGTGTAAAAAACACAAATGATTTATTTACAGGATTATTTTGAGCACTATATCTGTATATGTAGTAGTGATATCACATTTTTCATTGTAAATGTTTGGATTATACGCACGATGAACTCTTGTTCCAATAATATATTACTTAGTACTATATCCTATAAACTGAATCATATTTATTGTATGTCCAAAATATACAATAACTTTAAGAGGTAAAATTTCGAAGAACTAAGTGGGGGTTCTGCGAAATGATACCTTTATCTTAAAATAATAAATATGTATAATCTAATACAAAAATGTATCCTCATTGAAGTAGTCGTAAGAACGATAGTGTTTATTTATGTGGTAATCGAAGGTTGATCCATCAATACTAATTATATGTAGTAGAAGTCACAAAAAATGACAGATTTACACTGAAAACGTAATGTAAGAAATACGTTTCTTTTAAATTGTGATGGGCGTGAAATGGTAAACCATCGGTAATAGAGAGAACGCCAATATTTGATTGCAGATATAATTTAAAATATATTTTTTAATTTCTGATATTAGGTCAATGTTATAGCAGATATTAGTTTGTAGAATTTCATTTTGTAAATAATTCTAAGTACACATGTTTAATTCAACATCATATGAATAAATCAATTATTTACATTTTGTTTCATGAATTCCATTTTGATGTTTGTCATTGCATATGCCTGATACAGATTTGATTGATTAAAATAAATCTATGTAGATAGATGTCGCTGAACAAATGTGTACAGTTCCTCTGATTAAGTAAACATTTAATATGTTGAGATTATTTAATAAAAATGTTTACAACCCGGTACATTACCAAAGCAAAGTGAATGCTTATGCACGTATACACATGCTTATACTTTATTGGTATCGATTAAGATTTTGATGTCCTTTCTGCTTTGGTAACCATAGTAACCAGAACATTGATATCGAACGAGATTTCCATCTGGATAACAAAGGCAGTTCTGATAGGTATTTCCGCCAATGGTGAAGCAGAATCCTGTCGAGTTCATGGGAACACAGGCTTCGGTACAAGTGTTGCACTCTGGAAAGATTGCAAAAAGGCTGTGGGATGCAAAGATCTAATAAAGAGCTGCAAACTAAAAAAAACATGTCCATTATTCATTCTCCGGTAAGAGCTATTGAATAGTTTTAATTAGTACATACCAACGTTGATTACTTGGCTGATAAGGTAGTTGCCATCCTGTATGCACTGATATGTGACACAGTTATCGTTCTTCCAAGTGTTGCCCAAATTCTGGCATCCCCCTTCACCATCACTACATGCTATAATAAAGTTGTACAAATGTTTACCACGCTGCTCCACCAACTATCTCAAATAGTGGAACAGGGTGGCCCCAAAATTGCAACATCCGAATGAAAAAATATTTATGAATTTAATAAATTTGATTTATAACTTTATTTACCGTACATTAACAAAGACGACCGCGAGTTAATCATGATTATGCTACTTCTCTGATGCCAAATGATAATTGTATTTTATTTGTTGCCATTTAGATTTTTAAACTTGCCTAAAACATTTGCTCTTGTTCCCCAACTCCCACTGCTCGTGTCTTCGAAGCATTCATAACCGATACAACCATCAAACCAAGTTGCACCGATGTCAACACAAAGTCCATCAGTGTTCCTAGCGCAGCCTGTACATAGGCAGTAACATTACAAAAGGACAGGTCACTGTCATGAACATTGAAATTAACATTTATTGATTTATAGATGTCACTAGTAGAACATTACCTAATCTCAAACTAAAATCAGAATGCATGAAAAGCTTTGGTTAGAGAGTATACAGGTATTGAGCAAATAAAAGAAACCAGACCTAAAATAAAAATTGAACTTTGTTCTGTGGAATATTGAAGATATAGACCGGTTAAAAACAATAACAGTCACGGCGGATCTATCAAACACGAACTCAGTTTATAAAACAAAATAGAAGGTGAATTTACGTTTTCTGGTGACGGCATTTCCAAGGTAGCCGTCTACATATTGACACTGGTACTCCGTACAACCGGCGTAATAATATATTCCTACGTCGATACATACACTATCTGTGTGTCTTTCGCAAGCTGTTGACAGATAATGGCTTACAATTATTTAATCATGCATTGAATAAAAATCGTGGATTTTAGTAAATAAATTACATATGCTTGGACCGTCAGATATGGGCGTCAATGTACTAATGCCAAAACTCGTTGTTGCAACAGCTGTTTTTTATATGGGCGTCAATGTACTAATGCCAAACTCGTTGTTGCAACAGCTGTTTTTTAATATGGGCGTCAATGTACTAATGCCAAAACTCGTTGTTGCAACAGCTGTTTTTTGATATGGGCGTCAATGGACTAATGCCAAAACTCGTTGTTGCAACAGCTGTTTTTTGATATGGGCGTCAATGTACTAATGCCAAAACTCGTTGTTGCAACAGCTGTTTTTTGATATGGGCGTCAATGTACTAATGCCAAAACTCGTTGTTGCAACAGCTGTTTTTTGATATGGGCGTCAATGTACTAATGCCAAATCTCGTTGTTGCAACAGCTGCTTTTTGACACGATATATATTTTTGCAGTGCGTGGTTGCCAATTTGAGATATTTCATGCGGTATATATAAATCACTTAAGAAATTTACCTAAATTAGTGGCTGCGTAGGAACCATCAGAATAACAAGTATATTCAATACAACCAGACATCCACGTGGAATCGGCCGGTCGGGTAACTCCATTCCAGTCCACACAATCCGCTTGGCCTGGAAATAGCGAACTGAACTAAACCTATGTCATCTTTTCCTCGGACGAGACATGATAAAGAAATATGAATGCATACATATGCTGCTCAAGGAATGGCTTTTACAAATGGTCCTATTTATGGGCCATACACAGACACTTCGTGAAGGCAAAAGTGTCCAAAATAGCATCGAATTATATTATTTGTAATGAATCCTACTTTTTAGCGTGGATGTATAGCGAAAATCAAATTCCATATAAGGTTGGAAATGCTCCGACTCTGCACTGTACTTTGCAACGCGGAATTGAGATTTCTAAATTCGACGAAATATAACAATGTATAGATTGACTCACCTTGTTGCTTTGCGATGCCTTGTTCTACCTTTACCCAGTCCGTGCCTGAACAACACATTGGCACAACCAGAATAACAAAGAGAGCAAAATACGTATTCATTGTCCTAGAACTTACGAATCATAAACACAGTGTGTTCACACTAAATAAGTTTTTCCTTAAATGTATCAATTATTTATTGTGCGATTGTGTCATCTGTTTAAAACATATTTATGATCAAGATCCAAGTCGTAATGACATCGACATTTGATTGTGTTATCAACGAGTGACGCCAATCTCAAACTAAAGTTTAAATATCTCTCTAACTATTTTATTGTTATACTTTGGCGTTATTAGCATCACTCTCTTTTAACGAAAGGTCTATGTGCAGTATGATAGGTGGATAGCATGAGTTTTCCCTATGGGAAAATAACATGGGTTATGTGGTTTTTAACTTTAACGCATTTCAATACCCATTAGTCCCCGATCTGATTTCCAAAAGGGCTCTAGAAAAGGGGTTTCGTTGTCCGGTACTTCCCCAAATAGAATGATTGTACTGTTTGAAAGAACAGACTTCCCTCTTAATGAAAACATCTCTTCTATTGATAGAAACAGGGGCAAAAGGCACCAAAACGGGGTTAGACAAGGTGGCATTCTGAAGTCTCACTTTCTTGTCATCACGATTCCAGGTAAACCATCAGACGGATTTACTTCAAATTTTCACACATGTTACATGGTAAGAAGTTCTAGAGCTGATTAACTTTGCGGCGGCCATCTTGCATTCTGGCAGCCATCTTGGAATTTTTTTTAGATAAATATTGTCATCGCAATTTCACAAAAACCACGTAAGAGATGTACTTCAAATGTTCACACATGTTACATGGTAAAAAGTCCTAGACCTCATTCTTTTTTCGGTGGCCATCTTGCATTCTGGCAGCCATCTTGGAAGTTTTAAGATAAATCTTGTAATCACGATTTCAGGAAAACCAAACGGATTTACTTCAAATTTCCACACATATTACATGGTAAGGAGTTCTAGAGCTAATTAACCTTTCGATGGCCATCTTGCATTCTGGCGGCCATCTTGGAAGTTTTTTGGATAAATCTTGTCATCGTGATTCCAGGAAAACCACTTTACTGATTTCCTTGAAACTTTTACACATGAAAGGTTACATGCTACCTTTTATATTGATATAAACAGGGGCAAAAGGCACTTAAATGGGGCTAGACAAGGTGGCATTCTGAATGCAACCTTTTACTATGTTTCTTTACTTTATACCACATAAGTGCATATTTCGTGTATGGTATCAAATGATCCTTAGAATATCGATATATTGATAGAAACAGGGGCAAAAGGCAGTAAAGTGGGGTTACACAAGGTGGTATTCTAAGGACAATGTTATCTATTTTTCTGTATTTTAAACCACATAATTTGACATAAATGCATATTTGGTGTATGATATCATATTTTATATTGATAGAAACATGGGCAAGAGGCGCTATAATGGGGTAACACAAGGTGATATTCTAAAATACATATTTTTACTCTGCTTCTGTACGTACTTTATACCACTTAAATGCATTTTGTGTATGACATCGATTGATTTTTAGAATAAATAACTACATTTCATCAAAAAGAAAAAAGATTATTGAAAACGTCAAACATTTCTTTGAAATCCATTATTGCACAGCGATTTTTTGAGAGCGAAATGTATGCTAAACTGGTCTTGATCTGAGTATATAACGGAATTAAAGCTCTTTTAAAAGAAAATATATAAAGCATTTGATTGTAAATACTTTTTTTAAGATAAATCTTGTCATCGCGATTTCAGGAAAACCAAACGGATTTACTTCAAATTTTCACACATGTTACTTGGTAAGAAGTTCTAAAGCTAATTAACTCCTCGGAGGCCATCTTGCATTCTGGTGAACATCTATGAAGTTTTTTTGATAAATCATGTCATCGCGATTCCAGGAAAACAACTTAACAGATTTATTTCAAATTTTAACTTTTTGGCAGCCATCTTGCATTCTGGCGGCCATCTTGGAAGTTTTACATAAATCTTGTCATCGTGATTCCAAGAAAACCACTTAACAGATTGTCCTCAAATGTTTACACTTTATATGGTAAGATGTTTTCAACTGATTAACTCTTCGACCATCTTGCTTTCTTGGACATCAAGTCCACACTGCTATGTTTTAGGCCGATCTTGTTCACCATGTGCTTTGTTTACTCTGTTCTAGAACTTCTTACCATGTAACATGTGTAAAAATTTCAAGAAAATCAGTTAAGTAGTTTTCCTGGAATCGCAATGACAAGATTTATCTAAAAACGTTCAAGATGGCCGCTAGAATGCAAAATGGCTACTTATAAGTTGATCATCTGTAGAACTTCTTACCATGTAACATGTGTGAAAATTTAAAGCAAATCAGTTAAGTGGTTTTCCTGGAATCGCAATTACAAGATTTATCAAAAAGGTTCAAGACGGTTGCTAGAATGCAAAATGGCTACGTAAAAGTTAATCAGCTCTATAACTTCTTACCATGTAACATGTGTAAAACTTTGAAGGAAAACTGTTGAGTGATTTTCCTGGAATCGCGATTACAAGATTTATCTAAAAACTTCCAAGATGGCCGCCAGAATGCAGAATGGCCACTGAAAAGTTGATCAGCTGTAGTACTTCTTACCATGTAACATGTGTGAAAATTTGAAGGAAATCTGTAATTGGTTTTTCTGGAATCGTGGTGACAAGATTTATCTACAAACTTCCAAGATGGCCGCCAGAGTGCAAGATGGCTATCAGAAAGGTAATCAGCTCTATAACTTCTTGCCATGTAACATGTGTGAAAATTTGAAGTAAAACTGTTACGTGGTTGTCCTGGAATCGTGATGACAAGATTTATCTAAAAACTTCCAAGATAGCTGACAGAATGCAACATGGCCACCGAAAAGTTAATCAGCTCTAGAACTTCATACCATGTAACATGTGTGAAAATTTGAAGTAAAACTGTGAAGTGTTTTTTTTGGATCGTGATTACAAGATTTATCTATAAACCTTCCAAAATGGCCACCAGAATGCAAGATGGCCACTGAAAAGTTAATCAGCTCTAGAACTTCATACCATGTAACATGTGTGAAAATTTGAAGTTAATCTGTTAGGTAGTTTTCCTGGAATCACGATGACAAGATTTATCCCAAAATTTCCAAGATGGCCGCCAGAATGCAAGATGGCTGCCGAAAAATTATTCACCTCTAGATTTTCTTACCATGTAACATGTGTGGAAATTTGAAGTAAATCAGTTTGATTTTCCTGAAATCGTGATGACAAGATTTATTTTAAAACTTCAAAGATGGCCGCCAGAATGCAAGATGGCCACCGATAAACATATGAGGTCTAGGACTTTTTATCATATAACATTTGTGAAAATTTGAAGTACATTTGCAAACACGTCCATAATCATTTCTATACCTAAATACATGATTCTGGCATTTTTTTACTACAGGATTCATATCTTGGATAATAATGAATAAATAATCAAAAGTAAAAGAATTCTAGTTCATTTAGTGTATCGATGATCTAAGTCAGAAATAAGAAAAGAAACAAGAATAATTGTTTATAGTTTTGTAACGTCAAAGGAATGGACCTGCTCTAGTCCTGTATTCTTTATGCTTATTCGATCGCGAGACAGAGTTTTTTCTCCATTGATAAACTTTTGACTCTTAAATAAAGGATCGGTAATGTGATAGTTCCTAACTATCAAGATACTGTTGAGCAAAGCCATAAGAATGACAAAGCAGCCAATAATCGTGAAGTACTGGGACATGTTATTAAGGCTATATCTCCAGAGAAAGTTCCAACAAAATCCTCCTAAATTTCCTCCAGCGGCTACAATACCGGCAACAACACCGACCCTTTCGGGCCAAACAAACGGAATCAATGAGTAGGTGGTGCCCTCTGCATTCTGAACACAGAAGCTCCACAGAACTAGGACAACGATAGCAGTGGGTATGGTCTCCATTGAACCAAATACGATCATTAACAAGCCTTCCAATACATACACAACAAAATGAACCATAATTCGACCAGATAAATTGAATCGTTCATGCAGAATATCTGATAAAAGACCTCCAGTAAACCGTGCAAAAAGGTTCATGAGACCAAAAATTGATGTTATAAGACTGGCAGTCTCAGGAGTCAGAACGCTGCATTTGTATTCGGGATCTTCGCCATTTGGGCCTGTGACGTTACATCCGGGTGTTCTGAACCTTCTCAATAAATAAATGTTCAGAATACTGTTCACTGATATTTCGACCCCGAATGAAGCTGCATACTGCATGAAAAGTATAGATATTGCCAATATCCTAAACCCAATATGTCCACGCCAACCGCCATCATATTGAGGTAAAGTGTTCCTTTCGATGTTGCTAAGGTTTCCAATCATTTCAGTTGCTGCAATAGTCGAACTTGTGCCATGTGGTGCTCTATGTGCTGTATGGCCATCAGCATCACCATCTATAATTCACTTTATAGTTTAATTTTATATTTAAATGATGGATAAATTGTATTAAGGTGCAACGCCGAGCTAAATATAATATTCAATAAGATGTATTCACGTGTCGTGTCACTTATCTTTAATTCATCCTGAAGAAGTGACCTCCTGATTGAGGACAAGCTTGATTGACAATTCAGTAAAACGGATTTTGTTCATTAACACTGAAGAAATCTAATATGAAAGAAGATGTTCTTTATGTCTACCCTTTACATGAATGATAGCTCTCAATCTGTGCATACTTGACAAAATTCATGACATTGGTATACTTTTTCTACCAATCATGAATTATTTAAAAGGATTTAAGCCTGGACTCAGTGAATCGTGGACTGATTATCATTCATCGAAGGTGTCGTTTCAAATTTTGCACGAGATTCGCAGAATCGAGTGCTAAGTTTAGGAAACAATGCCTGAGTGGAATAAATCAGTCACAATGCAGAGAATCTTGGGCAATGTGTGAATGATGTTTAACCAGTTGACACATTTTCGTAACATAGTGACATCTGAGCACAAAAACCCTGATTTCCAAACTTTTCGATACTGTTTCGATACTCTAGGACAATATAAATAAAACATATAAAGATGTCGTTTGTTATCTAGCCATTTTGATTGACTGATCATGCCGAGGGATGTGTCAGAACTGATCACTTAACATGAAGTTCGCTTGAGAAAAAGCAAGGAACCATGGGAGCAAAACCTCCTTAGAGGTGTGTCTAAACTCAAGACGTGTTCGCTATATATACACCGCGATAAATATTGGGAACATCTTGACTTTGTAATTGATGATTAATCTAAGGTAAGTAGGCCTTATGTTATCATACGTCAAAAATGATTACCTAATAACACATTAAAATACACCTTACCAAAACAATGAGTAGAATCTACAGATCATCTTGACATGTAAGTACAAAGGTAGGGGGACAGACTACACCGTTGCTCATAAATATGGAATATTAGATTTGGCAGCTCAGAATTCAAATTTTGGAGTAAGAGAACATTTATTTGGAGACGGTTCAAACATTTATTTTCTAGGCAAATCATAACCACATATTTCATCTACAAATCAACATTTTTTAGAGAAAAAATATTCACATGTAAGTTTAGAAAATTACTGTTATTCAAACAGGGGTATACTAAAAAATATTGCATTTTCAAAACACCCCGATCCAAATTGTCATGTAAAACAGATCAAACAAAATAAACATCTGGTTATAAAGATTGAAGTGTCCTCTATCCAATGATAGCACTTATATGCGTTATGTCCTCTTTGTGCTGAAATCAGAGCATCAACCCTACGGGACCAACATTGAATAAAACATCTGACCTTTCTAAGTAAAATAAGGCCCCATCCCTAAATCTGGGCAGAGCGTAACATGTATAAATTTTGAGGTGGAGGTCCAAGTCACGAATCTCATTACCAAGGTCGTCCCATATTTGCTCTGCATTAGCTTGATTGGCTGATTTTTGTGCGCATGGTAGCTGGTCCACATTGCCTGCCTTGATGTAATCCAACACGATGCCACTAGCATATGCAACAGCATGATCATTCTGCAGTTGAATGTTGCCCCAAAACACTCTACTTAGGGACCCAGCCTGAATATTTTTGTTTTTGAATATTGGAGAGTATTACGCGAGATTTTTTCATTTTCATGTTGGAAAATATATTTATTTTATGATGTGGGGTGATATCTAGAGTTTGAGGCTTGCGAAAATAAGATATCCTCGTCTTTATACCCCCACCCTATAATTTCAGGGGGGTCAGAAGAAAATAAACTTTAATTCATAACTTTGGAAGTAAATGAGATACAAACTTAATTTTTTCACCATAATTTATAGAATAACATCAGTAATACAGAAAAAAATATATTAAACAAAAATAAGCTAATTTGCATAATTTAACCCTTAAACCGCCATAAAAACTATTAAATATCGGAATGATAATAAACAACTTTTACTGTAATTGCCTTCATATGAAGTTATAACTTATGAAATAATTCCTAAAAATGCATCTATATATGTATATTAGATGTACAAATATTAAAAGTGTATCTTACATAACGACTGTGAAAAATATGTCTCCCCTTACCCTTAAATTGAAGGGAGGGGGTCAAAAGAAAATAAACTTTAATTCATAACTTTGGAAGTATATAAGATACAAACTTAATTTTTTCACCAAAATTACAAAATAATATCAGTAATGGAGAAAAAAATATTTTAACAAAAATAAGCTAATTTGCATAATTTAACCCTTAAACCGCCATAAAAACTATTAAATGACAAAATGATAATATACGACATTTACTGTAATTACCTTCATATGAAGTTATAACTGATGAAATAATTCCTAAAAATGCATCTATATATGTATAATAGATGTGAAAAATATCAAAAGTGCATCTTATATATAGATTGTGAAAAAAGTTCTCCCCCTACCCAGATATGTCAGGGGGGTCAACTGAAAATGGACTTTAATTTATAACTTTGGAAGTATATGAGGTATAAACCTATTTGTTCACCAAAATTTATGTAATAACATCAGTAACTAAGAAAAAACATTTTTGATATGCAAATAAGCTAATTTGCATAAGTTAACCCTTATACAGTCATAAAAACCGTTAAATGACAAAACGATAAAATACGACATTTATTTTAATCGACCTCTCATGGAGTTATAACTTATGAAATAATTCATATAGTTGTATTTATATATGTATAACAGATGTGCAAAATATTAAAAGTGTATCTTACATAACGACTGTGAAAGAAATTCTCCCCCTACCCAGATATTTGAGGGGGGGGGGTCAGAATGAAAATGGACTTTAATTCATAACTTTGGAAGTATATGAGGTACAAACTTAATCTTTCACCAATATTTATGTTATATCATCAGTAATTCAGAAAAGATATTTTTTGATATGCAAATAAGCTAATTTGCATAATTTAACCCTTATAAAGTAATAAAAACCGTTAAATGACTAAGTGATAAAATATGGCATTTACTTTAATTGACTTCTTATGAAGTTATAACTTCGAGAAAAGATTTACAACAGATATGCACAATATAAAGAGGTTATTTTATATAATGAGTGTGAAAAGAATCTTACACCCTACCTTAATAATTTTGAGGGCTCGGGGGGGGGGGGGGGTTAAAGAATAGACTTTAACTCATAACTTTGAAATAATTTAAGAAAGAGCTTATATCACATCAATAATGAAACGAATATTACATGGGGACAATACTATATTTCAACTAATTTGCATATTTTAAGCTTCAAACAGTCATGAGAATCATTATAAGGCAAAGTGGTTCTATACTGAAATTGACTTCACATGAAGTAAGGACTTTGACAATATATCCTTTCTTAATACTAGCATTTAAATGGAAAAATGATATCAACAATTATGAAGCTATTTTTAACTATTTCAATGCCCATGGAGATTTTCATAGATATAACACTAAAGGCAAATCAAACTTCACCCTTCCTAAAGCAAAAACTGAAAATTATGGCAAAAAACAATAGCCTTTAGTGGTTCATCCATATGGAACAATCTCCCAGAAGAAATAAAAAAGTCAAATTCCATTTCTTTTCTTAAATCAAAACTGAAGAAGCATATTCTCTTAGCTTATTAATCATTAGTTGACTATATCATTTCTTGTTTGTTCAGTAAGAAGGGTAGGCTCTCAAGGGAGGTACATGGGCCAACCTGGGGGCTGCTCCAAACTACTTAAGATCTAAAATAATAATTCTGACCATACCAACCTTGGGGAAGGTAAAATAATAACTAATATTTTATAAGAATCACACTTTTAACGATTATTTGCGTCAATGCGGTAGCCTGGTATCTTTAAATAATAATTAATGAAGCTACACATTCATAAAATTTCCCCATGGCATATGGCACCTTCTTGGCTTCAAATGAAACGAGCATCATGGATCCCCCATACCTTTATTTATTATAATCTAACTTTTGTGATTACATTCCGGTTTGATTCGTTGACAACATAATGATATACTTCATGATTTAACTACTATATGTACGGGTATTTAAGCATCACCTGTGGTGCCACCTATTATTAATAATATGTGTACACATAATGATTAAATGTATGAATAAATTGAGTTTAATTGAACTTGCAATGTTTCAGAATAACCCTTAAAAAGGTAACCATAACAATTCTAAAGTTTATTGAACCATATTCAGAGTCACTGTGGGGACTGGTGTCATATTCTAGGTTGTAGGTACCTGATGCAGTGAAAATGTCATCATATATGTTTGGTCATTTTTTGGTCATTTTAATGGTCTCAAGAGTAATATGAACCACTTGACATCCAAATCCATTCCCTGGCTCTGGAATCTCAAAAAGTGGTTTGTCAGCATTCATTGAAATGTATAATTGTTATAAACCAAAAATGCATCCATAGTTAGTGGTAATGCTCTAATATCATTTTGGATGCTGCAAACAAGTGTAATACATCCAATGATAGTTTGTTTTTATATTGAAATATAAACAAAAATAACGCAACTCCCCTAGACCAGAGATCGTGCCCATGTGGACAGTCAATGGAGACAGAAACTCACTTTAAAGTAGAATGTCATATGTTTGAAAATGAACGATTAAGTCTGTTTGCCTAAATGACTGATATCCATAGTGACTTTTACATGTATACAAGTCTAGGAAAATATTGTATAATAATGAATGAAAAAAACTGTTCAAAGGACACTTGGAAAATGTATGATAAATATGTTAGTCAAAAGGCGTGAAATAGTTACATGCGATGGTCTCTAATAGGCCGGCATCAACCAGGAATTGTTTTAATTCATGTATGTATCTTAATGTAACATCTTTAGTGTGTTAGACTTTAATTAATAAATTTACTACTACTACTAGTATAATATTGTTTCCATGTAATATTTGTTTCATTCTTGATGTGATTTCTCAATATTCTGGCGAAGAAATACATGTATAAGCTCTTTCTTATACGATTTCAAAGTTATGAATCAAAGTTTATTATTTTCTTTTAACTTCCCCAACCCTAAAATATTAGGGTAGGGTGTGAGATTTTTTCACATTCATTATATACAATACCCTTTTTATATTGTGCATACCCGTTGTAAATGTATTTCTTGGAATTATTTCACAAGTTATAACTTCATAGAAGTCAATTAAAGTAAATTTCGTATTTCATCACTTTGTCATTTAACGTTTTTTATGACTGTATAAGGGTTAAATTATGCAAATTAGCTTATTTTCATATCAAGATATTTCTTCCGAATTACTGACGTTATAACATAAATTTTGGTGAAAGAATTAAGTTTGTACCTCATATACTTCCAAAGTTATGAATTAAAGTCCATTTCCATTTGACCCCCCTCAAATATCTGGGTAGGGGGACAATTTCTTTTCAGCGTCGTTATGTAAGATACACTTTTAATATTTTGCACATCTGTTATACATATATAGATGCATTTTTAGGAATTACTTTATTTGTTAAAACTTCATGAGAGGTCAATTAGAGTAAATGTCGTATTTTATCACATCGTCATTTAACAGTTTTTATGACTGTATAAGGGTTAAATTATGCAAATTAGCTTATTTGCGTATCAAAAATATTTTTTTCTGAATTACTGATGTTATTACATAAACTTTGGTGAAAAAATTAAGTTTGTACCTCATATACTTTTAAAATTATGAATTAAAGTCCATTTTTATTTGACCCCCTCCTCTCAAAAAACTGGATAGGGGGAGAATTTTTTTCACAGTCTTTATGTAAGATACACTTCTAATATTTTGCACATTTATTATACATATATAGATGCATTTTTAGGAATTATTTCATAAGTTATAACTTCATATGAAGGCAATAACAGTAAATGTGATATAACATCATTTCGTCATTTACTAGTTTTTATGGCAGTTTAAGGGTTAAATTATGCAAATTAGCTTTTTTTCATTCAAAATATTTTTTTCTTCATTACTGATGTTATTTCATAAATTTTGGTGAAAAAATTAAGTTTGTATCTCATATACTTCCAAAGTTATGAATTAAAGTCTATTTTCTTCTGACCCCCCTAAATTTATAGGGCGGGGGGTATAAAGATGAAGATATCTTATTTTCGCAAGTCTCAAACTCTAGATATCACCCCACATCATAAAAGTAACTTATTTTCCAACAAGAACTGAAAAAATCTCGCGTAATACTTTCCAATATCCATTTTCACTTTCTAGCTGTTTCTCAGAACTTGGGTCCCTGAGTACTCTGTTTACATGTGGTACTTGATGATGGTCCAAACGGTCAATTTACTCTGAAATTATGTTTGGGAATCACCAAGGGGGTGCAACTTCTGTAGTACTGCTCCAAACAACCTCTGTAACACTGCTCCAAACATAAATAAGGCCGCCTTCATGGACTGCCACATCAGTAAGTGTCCTTATTGTCTCTTTCCCCTGGTCTACGACAGAAACGAACACAATTATCAACTTTGTGGAGGACACATCTTATTTCTTCATATGCTGTCATATTACAGCAAAGATTAGGTCCAACATTTTGGTGCTTTCCTGCCCATTGAAGGCACCTATTTTTGTTATGATCAGTCAACTGTGGTCTCTTTAAAGTTCTCATGGCCTTGCATCCGTTATAAAGAAATCACTGGTTGTCTATAGCTCTGGAACACGGGTTTTGAGGTGAGACAGCTATTCATCTTGTAGACTATTGGTTGGCGTAAAGCGATTTTGATGACATAAATGCAGCAGCTGATGGTCTTTTCTTATATTTTTCTCTCTAGGGCTACTATTGCTGTGACCTAGAGTCACATTCCAGTGCCTTTGGTACCACTGCAGAATTTTAGAGACTGTTCCTGACACACCCCTAGGGTCCTGGCAATGGCAGTTTGTTTCATGCCAGAGAGCGCCATCCCTTTGACCTGCCATGCTCTTTTTTGCTTATTCTATGGGGCATGCCTTCTAAAAACTCTTCCAACTCTAAATTAAATTTTTATAAAATGTGCACAATGATTACAACTAAGATTTGGACACCTCTTTCAAGTTACCAATATCATGAGGTCATGGGGTCACCTGAGTGAATACAAGTTTAATCAACCATAAATGTTTTAACTTTTCATACCAATCAGTTTTATATGCAAAACTGATGAGGGAATGAGAACACATTACAAATTTTCATCAAAATGTTATAATTTGGTAGAAATTCCATCGAACAGTTCGTATCTATAAAATATTCCATATTTATGAGCAACAGTGTATACCGGGTGGGCATAAAAATGGGCCTTACTTTTATATCCGTTAACTCTTCTCAATATGCAGACCAAATTTCAGATAAATCCTTTACAATTTCTGTTCATGGGACCAAAATCGATAAAATGAGTCAAAAACGCATGTTCCGGACATTTCAAAATCACGTCTTTCCGAGTTTCACTTGAAAATTTGATCCTCCATCTTCTCGGTAGATGGTGCGCAAATCTTATTTTCATGCATGCGTGAACTTAATGGCTCCTTAACTAATTGAGTCTCTGAAAGAGTAAATTTTCTCCAGCGGATGAATCTTAACAAAAATGGCTCGCTTTCGTTCGCAATAAACTCGACCATTTGTCTTTCGCACACAATCTCAAATTGATTTTTTAGACTTTTTCGTCCATATGACGCCAATTTTCTTCACATTCTCCATCGAAAACGTATCATAAACATTTTTGCAGTATGTTTTTCTAACATGTGATGCAGTTTGGATTACCGGGATGTTCGTTTTTATACGGCCCATCTTTTATGCCCTCCCGATATATATTTTGACAACTATATTTCATCCAATTCGCGACTGTCTATTTCAGAGATCTCGTTTCACATTTTTATTCTAACATGTTTCGAATAGTGATTTCCATTTTTACTACATTTTACTGAGAAAGAAAATTGTGAGAAAGTTACCTGTTGAGGCAGCATATGCTAGATTATCATTGGCGTGTTGAATGACGTCATTGGTGTTCTTTTGTGCTCTTTTTCTCAGGTACCAAGGACCTTGCGGACAGTCATCCGTAAGGAACCAATAAGGAAGAGCAAGAATGAAGCCAACTGCTGCAGGAATTACCAGAGTGACTTTCCATGCCACAGATGAATTGATCCCTGAGAGCGAGATTAATCTGTATAGGACGGGCATGAGGAGAAACGTGACACCACCGCCAAGGTTCCCCCAGCCGCCCGCCAAGGCATTTGCGCTCCCGACAATGTTGCTACTAAACATACTGATGGTCCAAAATTGACATGGGACGAACACACCTCCAAGGATGCCGATGAAAAGACGAACGATGACCAGTCCAACTCCGTTCGTGACGAGACCTGCAAGGCCTACAGGAATCGATCCAGCCACGAGGAGAATGACCATTACGCGCCTTGCACCAAAGCGATCGCAGATCGGACCCGCCATGATCCGAACAAAAACCACTGCTGCAACCCCTGCTATACCTGAAACATTTAAGTAGATCGTTACTTGAATCGTGCGTTTCAAAAGGACAGGGTGACCCAAAAAAATGCAACCCTCCATTTCTTCAATATTTTTCTTAAATGGAGATAAATTGCTCTGAGATTTGGCACCCAAGGACTTCATTCAATGTGGGATCCTCTGGCAAAGTTTTAATAATCATAGACTTATATTGATAGAGTTATGGTTGTTTCAAAATATGCTCCAGATGTCGTCAATTTCGCTGAAAACAAACTTGCAATGTTCAAGGAAAACTGTTCATAACACGGATGCATTCTTCCCCATGGGTATGGCTCAAATTTTTGCAGCCATTGCTTATCGGAGTTCTACAATTGCGGTAGGGTTATTTTCATACACATTATCCTTTAAGTAACCCCATATATAGAAGTCGGGGGCATTGAGATCAAGACTGGGATGACCATGGGTTCTTCGTCCTAGGAGAGATCATCTTCTCATAGAAATGACTAGTGAGCCAGGCTATGCTATCAATATTAGACAATGGTTATTGAAACTTTGCCAGAGGATCCCACATTGAATGAAGTCCTTGTGTGCCAAATTTCAGAGCAATTAACCAACATTTAAGAAAAATATTGAAGAAATGGGGGGTTGCATTTTTGGGGTCACCCTGTATAACTCGCTATTATGGATTTGGGTTCTGTTTTGGGTTCTGTTGAACTACGTATTCAGTGCAGTTGATTTAACATTTCATATTTCAATTTTTATGCATTTTAACATCTGGTGCCAGACTCTAATCCCAATTAGTCTAGTCCTAGGAGAGATCATCTTCTCATAGAAATGACTAGTGAGCCAGGCTATGCTATCAATATTAGACAATGGTTATTGAAACTTTGCCAGAGGATCCCACATTGAATGAAGTCCTTGTGTGCCAAATTTCAGAGCAATTAACCAACATTTAAGAAAAATATTGAAGAAATGGGGGGTTGCATTTTTGGGGTCACCCTGTATAACTCGCTATTATGGATTTGGGTTCTGTTTTGGGTTCTGTTGAACTACGTATTCAGTGCAGTTGATTTAACATTTCATATTTCAATTTTTATGCATTTTAACATCTGGTGCCAGACTCTAATCCCAATTAATTTTCAAACAGTATCAGTTATATTATCAGTTTATATTTTTATGGGTATTCATTGGTATGTAGGCCTTTCTTGGCACTTAAAATGATTTTTTCAAAATGGAAAATTTACACAGATTTTGTCACGTTTCTCAGTACAAAGGGGGCTGTCTGAAGTTTTTTTATGTCTAAAATATTTAGTTATAAATGTTTAGAAAAAGGAATGAGCAGTTCGTTTGACGTTGCTGTTGTTCCGGAGACAAAGGAGGTGTTCTATTGAGTAGACTTTTGGTATTAAAAGTGTACAAACTCAAGATCTTGCCATTCTCAGGTATGGAGTTTTCAGGATAAACACGTCATATTTACTTTTCAAGTCTCTTTTGCAGGTACTATATCAAAGAGAACACCCTTTGTGCCTCGTGTGGGTCGCTCATATGATATTACATCGGATAAGTCCAATGATGCAGTCAGGTTTTTACTCTAGATTTTCAATGGAAATTAAATACTTCATTACAATTCCTAATCTTATGATTTTGATTGATTTTCTCAAAAGCGCTTTACTCTCAATAAAATACAGTTTTTTGCTTCAACAATTGAGCTTTAACGTCACTTCAAATATTGTCTAGCTAATAAGTTTTCGAAATAACTGGTGCTTGAAATTCAGATCAGAATTTTAGAATGTCAATATACTAATCATGTTAATCACTAGAAAAGAAAGTCTAATTGAATTGCAATTCACTTCTTTAAACCTATCACATGTAATGTCATTGTTTTTTAATGATTATAAACACTTCTTCTTTTAATTGATCATGAGGAATTGATGTGTAAATTTTGTAGCAAAATGCCATGCGGAAATACATTTAACTTTTAAATTATATTGGGTTTTATTGGTCACAGTTTTAACGTCTATCATTCAGGTATCACACCAGTGTGTTGCATCCAGGTGATAACATGCGATCCGAAGATAGGCGAGCACACTATCTTATCCTGTTATCTCTGACGCAAGGTTGCCCGCGAAAGGCTGCCTTGCCTAATTGATTGACGGTAAATGAATTCATACTTGAACACTTATATCTTAACAGGTAGTACAGTGCCCTTGAGCAGCTACCTGGGTTGTCACCGCATTTTCAAAACTTTGTCGTGTCTAGGAGTACAGTGCCCTTGAGCAGCTACTATGCGACGACACTGCATGATTGGCAGCTCACCTTTCATGCTATCTTGGTTGTATATGTGTATAACTTTCAAAAGCATTGCACACGCTCGGTCAAATTACGTCATAATATTTAAGGAATAAATAATGATAGGCCATTCAATATGGTGAAATTCAGCACGAGTTGGACAGAATGTTGTACAAAGCACGAACCGAAGGTGAGTGCATTTGTACTAACATTCTGTCCAACGAGTGCTGAATTTCACCATATTGAATGGCCTATCATTATTTATTCCGATTCAAACATAAAAATTAGTAAAAGCCGTGTCTCTCGAACGGGCATGAAGGAAGAATACGCATGCTATCCCCGGACAGAGCCCCAGATGTGCAGCTGAGATGTGACGTCACTCAAAACAATGCAAATTGCAGATTGAATAGAGCATGGTCGTGCATCTATGGAGAATTAGAGAACGTTTTATATTGGCTATGCTGCATTCTGATTGGTTGAGAAATTCGAATAGAGCACGGTCATGTTTGAATTGATAATAATGTTTGCATTTCTTGTACCTTCGACGAACGGGATTTAGCCAAATGTAGTAATTGTAACTTGTTGAATATGTATTACAACAATATATAGTATTATACGATTATGCGAGTTTATGTTGTCTTTTATGAACGTATTTATTTTGAGTATATCTCGAATCTTTTCTCAACAAAGCGTTCACGAAATAAGTATTTGAAATGTTTGAGTTCGGGGTGAAAAAAGTACGTTATGAGTATACCACTTCACAAGAGGTGTCATGCAATTCTATTGCTTTGTTTGACCCTCATCTAAAATCATACTCAAACCCGATACCATAATTATAAGTTGAAATGAAACATTGGACTCGCCAGGCTAGATGATAACCGTTTCGAGCATTGATGATTTACGTTTGTGGTTGTATCATAATAAAAAATGACGAGTAACGGCATCTTTTGAAGAAGGAATATTGAGGAACATTGCGGAAATTCAGAAATTCAGGCCATATCGTTCATGATTGCTTCACCAATATGTAACAGAAAATCAAAATTATGATCTACATGTTTGCTGATTGGTATACTGAAATTAATAGACCAGAGGTTTGCTACAATAGGACACCATTCTCATTCAATTCAATGCACATACGAATTATCCATTTTGACGCAGTTACTGAGCTTGACTGTATACGTAGAACTCCCTATTGCTACCTACTCGTAAAATATCTAGCTTAATTTGGATCTTTATGTCATTTAGGTATCCACTATATGTAGGGCAAACGTTCATGTTTCTCTGTTGGTAATATTGTTTATTCAAAATGTCAAGATGTCCCTTCACTATTTCAATTTCGTTGTTACCTTCACAGGAATAGCAATGGCTATCAAGCCTTTATCTAAGTTTATAAATAGATGCATACTTTGGATCGAAGGACCTGAAATAAAAACATATTATTAAATCATCATTGTTATATTTTAAGAGAATTAAAAGGTGGCTCTATAAATGGAACCTTACCCGAATTGGCTACTTCCTCGTCATTTAGACTGAGATCTTGCTTGATGTATGGAATCAACGGCTGAACACAGAACCAACCTAAAAACGCAAAAAAGAATCCGATCCATGAAGCATGGAATGCCCGCATGTGCGGACGTCTTAGACTAAACAACCAAAATGTCGTCGCTTTTCCATTAGTATCAACCAATAAGACTTTTTTATCTTTACATCTGGTCAAGCAGCTCCCAACGGATTCTTGTGACGAATTTAATTTTGGGTCCATTTTCCTTCTTTTTGACTGTAGAATCGCCTAAATGCAGTACATGTACGTTTGCATTGTTTTGAATAGATACGATTGGCCCATGAATATTTGAGGTCAGGTAGATCTACATTGAAAACTTTAAATGTCAACTTTAACAAGGTTATGTAGATCTTTTACCGGTGTAAAAGGGTAGGAGGTCCTATCAAATTATGGTCCTACTCAAGTGACAAGTTATACCATAACTCCCATGTGGCTATTCCGTTTGAGATGTCTTTGGTGTCAACTGCGCAGATTTTGGAACCTTTTTAAAAAGGCACTTAACTCTCTTGTGACAACCCTTGGAATCATATAATATCATAATAAAAAAATAACAGAGTGTTTCGAAAATTGGACATTATTTCATGTACGAGTATTGATACACCTCATCAATAATTTTGAAGAGCACACGCATGAACTCAATGCTTATTCCACATAGGTATCGTAGAAAACCGTTTTGTTGGAATGACGCCCGTTTATAGACCGTAGATATCTTTTCTTTTTCTTTTTATTCATTCGTACAACTGTAATAATTATACATTTCAGAATTGGATTTGTATCGTATTTTTGGCAGGGGGTACAACATTTTTCAAGAGCCCAATAAGATGGTCTTAACTGGGCCTTTTCAGGCTTATTTTTAGATTTTATGCCAAATTATCAAAAAAATGGGCCCTAAATAAATTGGCCCCATAATTTGGGTTTTAGAAAAAAATAAGACTTGAAATATGGGCCCCTTGTTGGTTCCAAGATCCCCCTCTGGTAGTAGATAGATATTTTATTTCACAAATGATGTACAGTAGATACATCAGACAAACTCGCACAACTATATAGAAAACAAACGAAAAGTATTTATAGATGGCGTATCCTTATAAAAACTCAGAGTGAACGAGAAAATGCTACAATTACTGTTTCAGCGTCGTGGATTCCAAGTGGTTATGTAGTTGTAGCAACTGAAACCTAGAGAATCAAGATGCTGTTTCATGAGATATTGATGATCCAAATCCCCCTGGGAATCGGCAACATGAAATTATAAATCACAGTCTTGTTATGGAATTATTTATTCATGAGGGCAATGAGAAAGTCTAAATGTTTATCTTTACACTTGCTCTGGACAAACTGCGTTGTCAGACATTTTTCAGAAATAGTTCAAATATATATAGTAGAGAGCATGTCATATTGCATGATAAAGCATATCGGGGAGGGGATACATCGTACTATATCAATTTTCAAGTATAAAACAAGGATGATAATTTATCAGATAAAAGACTTCTTTCATAGTGTTTTAGAGTCTTATGTACGTCATTGTTATATAATCTAACCCCAAGTGTATGAGAATAGCGGGTTGTCTTTGTCACAGACCAGTAGGCATATCGATTGTTATGTAACACATATTGTCATGAATTTAGTAAATATTTCAGTCAACAAATTGTATGATGTTTACATTTAACACCTCCAAAATTGGAACACTTTCAAAACCAAAGGTGTTCCACTTTATTACATATTTTACTGTATTTATGTTTTTTAGGTTATCGATCTAAGTACGAATTTTAACGAATGGAAATGAAACTTAAGTCTTTAAGGTTCCTAGAATAAATGTTAATTTGTGTCTCTTGAAATCGTTTATATCAGGCATTTTTGTTTACTGCAAAATCACGGACATCTAATAGGTTCTTCGAACGGGAATGATATCAATAACAGGACTGGCATCCAGATCCAAGTATTTTTCAAGACCGCCGACTCTCGTTGGGCTATTTATCCCTATTGACTCAGTTGTTCATATAAATTTACGTACCTTAGATGCTTTGTAATCGACGTAGATAGAAAATATTGTTTCCTAAATTGTTCTGAAAAGCGATAATTATTACTAAATGTACTTTGAACAGGTCGACTGACAAAAAAGTCGGACTTCTGGCACAAGGTCACGTGACCTATTCGGGAGGTCACGGGAAGTTACGAGAACTAAATTCAAATTTCCCAAACAATCATCATTGAACCAATCAACGTCGAGATAAAATTGATGACGTCACCGCCATCGGTCAAGGTCAGGTCAAAAGTCATCCATCTTGCCATTAGCCCAGCGGATTCTTACCAGTCGACAAAAAACGATGAAATCACGTTAAAAATAAAATATACACTTTAAAATTGAGGCAGATTGAATATGACAAGACTCCATTGAATACAGCTGTGCAATTTACAGTCACCAAGATGAGCTAATTTCGGAGAGATTCGGGAATTAAAAAAGGTAACTTCATTTTTTTCATCCAGGTTTCCCAACTTCAAGAATTTGAAATCCCAGAATCTCCTTTCGCCAGAACATTCTCTCTGACTGTGTGCAAAATATGATTCACTTGTAAACAAGAGAGTATTATTTTATTTTCTGGAACTCTATACTCCAAAGTAATATCATTCAACGATTTCTAACGTTAATATAAGAATGCACTTCCATAATTCACAATACTGTTTCCCACCGTCATCTGGAATGATTTACCTTTGAAATTGATCTCAAAACGTTCACTAATCATTCTCAAGAAATTAAGATATCGTCACTAGCCTCTTTCAAATCTTATATTGTATTTATTGATGATATATTGAAAAATATAGAACTTGTATATGATTTAGGGGATCCTGTGCAAGAAATCGCAATAGTCAAACATTATGTCGTTAATGTACACTTACAATTTTGTAGCATTATTTATTCGACGATTATGTCAAAATTAGAGCTATAACAAGCATATTGATATTATACTGTCATCTTCTGATCAGTAGTTTACTGTAATATCAAGTACATCGGATCACAAACACGGGCTCTTATGAAAGCCCAAGGTTAAGACAACCTTTTACAAAAACAATATCGATATAATTGTCCCTGACACAAACTGATAGATCTATCCGCATGTCGCCATGTTTTATTCCCAAATTGCGCGGAAAACATATCTTTGGCATTTCTGTTAAATTGACACCATTTTAAACATTATTTTGCCCCCCCCCCCTTTGTTAGTTTTCAGATCCGCAACGTACTTAGCCCACATATACACTATATCACCCTATGCAGACAGAGCCTGTGGGAAATATTGGGTGCGGAGCAAATGAGCGGAGGGTGCGGAGCTAACGGTCATTTTTTAATTTAAATTTGGGATATTTCTGAAACTAAGCCGTTTTGGGACTTCAAATATACCAAGATATGTGTATTTGACACCAAATATCAATACAATTGTGAAAATAGTAGCGCAATTCATTCTATAGCGACGCAGTGTGCCTTAAACATTTCCCAGACCTATATATTTTGAGACTATCCTTTTAATACTGAGTCCCCAGCATTCATAAAAACTGGTGTTCAAGGTACACTATCTATACAAATTATTTTTGCATCTTGGAAGCCAGGCAGTATTTGTGTGATTTTATAAAAATTCGGAAATGTTTTTCAGATATGAGCCCCCTCTAAATATTGGGTGCGGAGGAGCTCCATAAACGTACCTCCATAAAATTGTGAAAATAGTAGTGCAATTCATTTTATAGCGACGCAGTATGCCTTAAACATTTCCCAGACCTATATATTTTGAGACTATCCTTTTAATACTGCGTCCCCAGCATTCATAAAAAATGGTGTTCAAGGTACACTATCTATACAAATTATTTTTGCATCTTGGAAGCCAGGCAGTATTTGTGTGATTTTATAAAAATTCGGAAATGTTTTTCAGATATAATAGATAATAGGGTGTATATGTAGAGTCATACATTCAGTAAATTGCTAGCAAACTGTACACACACTAAAAATACAGAATTCAATTTGTGAAACATCTTTTACAGTACGAGTGGTATCAAAACTATAGTTTCCCGCCATCCATCTTCACAAGACCACCTGTCTATGGCTCACATCGTCAGATTTTAGACGGAATGTTTAGTCTATTCATTTTCTTTTGGCCCAACCCGTATTATATAATGCATCTTTTACTGTTAAAGGAAGTAAAGAGGGCATTTATGATGATGACAACTCTTCTCACTCTTACTGTATCTAATCGAAGTAGTCGTTCGGAACACCGGTTGAAGTTAAAGTCACTTGCATTCAGTATCAAATGATGACTGAATGCTCTATTTTGTATGAATTCTAGTATCTACAACTATTTTTGATGCTATGGGTATTGGTTATCAATTAAAAAATTTTCTCCTACATTTAGAGTATTGTAACGATTTCAACTTATAAATGAAATGTCGCTTGGTGCTGTGGTCTCGGATTGTGATAATGGAGCTTGAATGATGGGAGAGGTGGCTATTGGATATTGTTTTTTACGTTAGATCATCATTTGGGATAGTTGGGATTTGTTATCCTTATGACTGTATTCTTAGATGTTTTCTTTTTTGTTTGGTCGTTTACAACATTGACAAAAAGGAGATTTCAGTCACTCACAGGGGGGTTAATTTTTTAGTATGCCATATCTATATTAATAATACTATACAAATATTGAATAATGTTGAGTGCAATACCTGTATATATTTCGGAAATATATACAGGTATTGCACGAAAACAGAATTCAATATTTGTTTTATTATTTCATACATATCACCAGTTTAACAATATTAATCTATTAACTATACAATATAGTATATATGTAATGTCACATGTTTAAAGTAGTCTATTTATGTGACGTCACATTCGTTGGATACCTGTTCTAAAAATACACCTTTCATATCAATGACTTACCCATGAATGGAATACCTTGTGGTATTTTTGGTCACATGGTACATGACTGACCAATCACATTCTGATTATCACTACAGAGAAATATTAACATTAGATATTCAACGGAGGTCGCGTGATTTCCGTTGAATATCGCTTGTTACTTTTACTTACATGTAGGACATGGACCAATCAGAGAGTGAGGAATATGACAGTGATATGATAACAAAAGATATCCACCAGTCACGACTTAGGTCAGTGTAATTTCAATTGTATATATCCCGGGAGTACATTATTATGATTAATGAGACATCAATATTTTTTCCATTAATGTGAGTGAGGAATGTAACAGTGAATAATAAAATTCAATTGTATATTATTTATGTATATTTATGTAAACTTGCAAGCGTACATAATAAGAGGAAAATGCTCGACTGCTAATATTTCTTGCGTACATAAAGAATACAACACAAGTTCTATTGCAAATTGTCATCGGCGAGAAGCAATTGCAACTTGAAAGAGACGTCTACGTTGATAAATTAAGATGAATATGTAACTTCCCTCTCAAATCAAATATATTGCCTATTAGTCGCTTTCATCAACAACACAATGCCGAATGTCATACAGA